GTTGAGCTATAGGCGCCGAGCCCTCAAACTTTTTAAACAGGGGGCCAGTTCACTGTCCCTCAGACCGTTGGAGGGCTGAACTATAGTTTAAAAGGACAGGCAGTGGCTAAGCAGGACAGGCGGCAGCGGCAAAAACACCTGGTGGGCCGGATAAATGTCCTCAGCCAGGTACATTTGAGGAGGCCTGCCAGGAGGTAGTAGAGAAGCCAGCCCAAACCAGCCAGAAACATGGCGGATACCCCACTGCTCATTACACCTGCTCACGCTGTACCAGTACACAAAAAGAAACTTCTACCTACATGGTTTAAAAAGAGGGAGGAACCCCTGGTTATGGGAACTCTCCACCTTTTCCCCAGAAATCCTACAAATAATCCTCTCTCTGCATAACACACAATTAAATAGAAACTCGCACAATGCTCCGAGAGGTAGAATGTATACCACAAGACCCTGGAGATTCACTCAGTGCTCCGAGAGGTAGAAGGTATACCACAAGACCAGGAAACCCCCCTGTCGCTCTGAGCTATAGCTGCTGCTCTGCGTATGGAGTAAGACTTCCTTGTGTTTTCTGTTAACTTTTGCCTTGCTTTGTCAGCTTGCTCTTCAATTCTTTCCTGCACGAAGCCAACAACCTATCTGGTCTTCAGCTGCACCCCAGTTTGAGGGTCCACCTTCTTATATCAGTTTGATTTATCCTCTGCTAATCTGGCATATTTCCTTCCTCCAACATATGCACACACACCCCCCCCATACACATACACACACAACATACATACATGATTTTGTACTATGTATTTTCTATGTGTTTATATATATGTTTTTAATATATATGATTTCCTGAATACCATTTTTGTCCTGCTTTTCTCCTTTCATTTGATTATGAGCATTTCCTATGAAATGCCATTCTTCAGACACAAGATCATGAATGTCTGCTTTGATTCCATTGCATGGATGTTCCACGATTTTTTTGAGCCTTTCTCCTGTTGTTGAACATTTACCTTTGTGTAACTGTCCTAAACAAGTTTTGTTTGTTTATTTTAATGGTTCTTTTCTAAAGCTAGGTTCCTAGAAGTAGACCTTGGTTAAATAATATGCATTAGGCTTAGTTTCCCATTCTAGGTGACAAGTTCCTTGAACACAGGGACTGGTTATATGTTTCCCTAGAAGACTGCATTGCTTACAGCTTCTTTTTCTTTTCTTAATTTTTTTTCCTTAGAGACAGAGTCTCACTTTGTTGCCCTCAGTAGAGTGCTGTGGCGTCACAGCTCACAGCAACCTCCAACTCCTGGGCTTAGGTGATTCTCTTGCCTCAGCCTCTTGAGTAGCTAGAACTACAGGCACCTACCACAATGCCTGGCTATTTTTTGTTGCAGTTTGGCCGGGGCCAGCTTCAAACCCACCACCCTCGGTATATGGGACCAGCACCCTACTCACTGAGCCACAGGCACTGCCCTATGGCTCATTTTTTCTGTCCATGTCTTCCTCTTTTTTTCCCTCCCTCCTCTTCCTGTTTTCACATATCCTGTATCAGGCAGCTGACAAAGTTAATTGATAAGTTCACACTGCAGATACATTAGGGCAACTTGTCCAGGGTATCATAGTCTCTGAATTTCTCCTTATCTATCATATCATATGTCCCATAAAATTATATGATTATTGCTGGGTGTGGTGGCAAGTGCCTGTAGTTCCAGCTGCTCAGGAGGCTGGAGCAAGAGGATCACTTGAGCCCAAGAGTTGATGGTCAGTCTGGGCAACATAGTGAGACCCAGTCTGAAGAAAGAAAAAAAGAAATAGGAAAAGAAAAGAAGATAAAATAAGAAGAGAAAAGAAGAAAAAAAGAAAATGTATATGATTTTTGCAGAGGGCTCCCTACATTTGAATTATGGCTACTTGTAGTCTCTTCACAGCAGTACTGAGGAGTGTCTTCCACTTCAGAATTTCCAATTTTGAGTAAGGATGCTGAAAGATCCGATCTTAAAAAAGAAGACACATATATTAAGCATAAAAAGGTTATTTTGAAATTTATACCAAGTCAGTAAACCCTGCCCAGCCATCAGTCTACCAGAGCCTACTAAAAAGAACCAAAATCTATTTTTATTAAAGTACGCATAATCATCAGCTTAAGAATTACCTCTTCTCAAGGAAAGTTGCAGTGAAATAAGATCAAAGCTCTAACCCAAAATAATTAAATCCCTATGATATCATCTGAAGTATTTGTGGACTTTCAAGAATCCCTACCTACTGTATAGACCTACAGACCACATCTTCAGCACCCCTCAGTTCAGGGAAAGATCCTTGCCTACCAGACAAAATATTTTATCAGTAGTCAATAAACTTGGGTTCTGTTTCTGACTCTTCCACCAACCAGCTTGGGACTCAACATCTCCTGGGCTTCAGTTTTTCATCTGTGAAATATGAGAATTAATTGTGATGATCTCAGGCCCCACTCAGCTCTAACATTCTACTCTTTGTTAAAATTCTACCTGCATAGGGTATAGATGGAAAGATCCAAACCTGCTATTTCTTTATTTTATCCTACGAAGTCTAGTTTAATCAGTAAGCCCCAGTAAATTATATATAGCAGAAAATCGGGAAGATAAATGAAGGGGAGAGAAAAGTACACAGAATCCTATCACATAAGCACTGTTAACATTTTGGTGTATCTCCTTTTGAATTTTTGCCCTATGCATGGAAAAAACATTGGCTATAATTAGAATGGGTAACTGGTATTCTCTGTCCAGGTCTCTTGCCTTTGCTGGGAGCTCTTCATTTTAGCACAGTTCCAGGTGAAATTTGGGGTCAGGGTGTCGTGGGTCCTCTCTATTTTTTCCTTTACCTGTCTTCCTCACCTTAGCCCTAGATTAAGAACAAGTTTCCCTTTTCTTTCAAAACTATGGAACTACTTCCTTTCCCTTCCCTTGGGGTATTATCCTACCCCTATGCCATGTGGCTCTAGTTTGGCTGACGATTATACTTCCTTGCTATCCAAGAGCCAAGAACCTGGGTTTGATATATAATGCTACCCCATCATCTAGGTGACCATGATATATGGCCATAGTGCAGGCACTGGATTCAAGTACAGCTAGTCAGTCATTAGCTGGGATTGACACATGTCACTACTTTCTTCCTAAGAAGGGAGCACCTGAATCTAGGGATGGCAGGGACCACCTTCTTTATCATGTAGAAAGAGCCTGACTCCAGGCACAACCATGCAGAGATGAACAGAGGAGTCCCTGCAGCACAGAGTCCCATGTCCTGCTCTGGATCCTGTTCTTGCAGTTCTTCCTTTAATCTTGTAAGTTACCCACTAGAACATGAGCAAATAATTATCTTATTTCTTAAGCTAATGTGAGTTGAGTTCTTGTCACTCACCACTAAGAGTCATGACTAACATAATCATAATCACAGTCAGGGTCATCCCCACTGGATCACGAGAACAATCCTAGCTTTAGACTGGAAGAGTGAACAAGCTCCATCCCAGTTTCCTTAGAACTGGAAAATGTCCTAATTGTTCCCAGCCTCCCTATCTGGGATTACATATTACCCTTCAATGACCAAGGACTTGTTCCTGCTTACAGACTTGCCTGGTGGGCTAACTAGCTGCTTGCCATATAATTGCCTACTGAGAAACTTCCTGTCACTGAACCACTTATTTAAATTCTTAGACATTTTCATCCTGGATACTCTGGATATCTTTTTTTTTAGAGACAGAGTTTCACTTTGTCACCCTTGGTAGAGTGCCAGGGTGTCATAGCTCACAGCAACCTCAATTCTTGGGCTCAAGTAATTCTCTTATCTCAGTCTCCCAAGTAGCTAGGACTACAGGTGCCCATCACAAGGCCTGGCTTTTTTTTTTTTAGAGACAGGGTCTCACTCTTGCTCAGGCTGGTCTCAAATTCCTGAGCACAGGCAATCCACCTCAGCCTCCTAGAGTGCCAGGATTATAGGTGTGACCCACCAACCACATCTGGCCTTACTCTGATATGATTGTTTTCACTCCTACTTGCTATTTTACCACACCTATCAGGCTTGTTCTTAGCATATGCACCTGGATCCATTTCCTTATAGCTGGCCCACCCTAGTGAGACAAGTCCAGTTCTAAATTCTGACCTCTCATTATATCAAATACAGAAGTAAATATAGGGGAGAGGGGTGCAGAAGGAACACTTGACACCTAAGAGCTCTCTAAAGTAAGAACCTTTCAATGGTTCTTATGGTTGTTTGATCTCTGATGAATGAGAAGCCCATCCATGAGACCTCCTACTCACTCCCTGATGTTCCAAGGAGTCCATCACATCTCCTTTACAACCTCATTCAGGGATAGACAATATTCTTTCTAAATTTGTGCAATCATAATTTTCCTTGGGAGGTCTCTTTTATAACATTTAAATAATTTAAGAACAAATTTTTGCCTTTTAGCACAGTAGCCTTTGTTCCCTATCCAGGGTGGTTTGTTTTGTGATGGAAGGGCACCAAAACTCTCTTTAGGCACATGAATGTCATTGCCACCAAAGCCATGGTCTTGGCTTCTCAAAACCATGCAGAAATACTTCCACAGTGTAAGGTGGAGAAATTGGAGTAAGTGGGGGTGGGGAGAGCGAGATCAGAGGGGGATGCCTTGGAAAAGTCTTAACCTGGAGTCTGTGAACTTAAATGTCTGGCTCTGATTGAGGTTACAGTAAGAGGATGGCTGGGGGAAGGGTTCCGAACTCAGGGAATGGAAATGACCTTTCTCCTCTGGTTCCTTGTCAGAGTTGACCTCGGTTTCGGTGGGTAAAGTGAACTTATTTTCTACACAGATCTTAGATGACAGTGAGAAGTGGATGACATCAGAAGAACTGTTACACTCAAAGTTCTCTGAAGACTGGTTTTGCTTGACTAGAGCAAGGAAAAAAGGAGGAAAATGAATAAAGAGAGAAAAAGAGCATTATCAACAGAAAATCCAATTGTCAGTATTTTCATACTCCCATCAGGGTATTAGCAAAATTTTCCATAAATATCAACCCACGAAATCCATGAAATATGTTCATCATTTGCTCTGGAAATGAATCAGGTTTCCAAACTGAAAATTCTGCTACATAATTTTTCTTTTTTCTTTTTTGAGACAGAGTCTTACTCTCTTGCCCAGGCTAAAGTGCTGTGCTTTCAACGTAGTTCACAGAAACCTCAAACTCCTGGATTTAGGTGATCCTCCTGCCTCAGCTTCTGAGTAGCTGGGACTATAGGCGCCCACCACAACACTCAGCTAATTTTTCTACTTTGGGTAGAGATGTGATCTTTCTCTTATTTAGGCTGGTCTTGAAATCCTGAGCTCAAGGGATGCACCTGCCTCGGCCTCCCAGATCCTAGGATTACAGGTGAGAGCCACTGTGACTGGCATAATTTTTCGATTTAGTAAAAGACTGTTTAGCTTACACTTTTGTTCTAAGAACTGCCTTCCACATCAGACTGTAAAAGCACTCATGTTTTATTTTCATTTCTTCTTTTAGCAACTGGATAATACTCAAAGGCAAAAAAAGAAAAAAATAAGGCTCTCAACACACAAGGCCCCTCCATGCTCCTTGTGTCCTTATTAACTTGTGCTAAAATGTAAATTTAAAACAAGGAACTTCATTAATCTATGAAGTGGAATGAATTCATCTCATGGAGGAAAAAAAATATGGTTTGTAAGCTACTTGAAAGAAAAAAAGGAACATATTGAAAGAAAACAAAACTCATGGGAACTTGTTAAGCTTTATTATATGAATTAAAAGGTCCATAGGTCTAGGATTCCATAACAATTATAAAGAAGTAATACAAGAAAAAATTATAATGACAAAAAAAATAAAAGAAATAAGGCGGTGGGTAAGAATTTTCACAATTGTGACCTATATTTATCAAACACTATATTCTAGGCACTATTCTAAGTATATTAAATGCATTTATCGTTGTATTCTGTCAACAAAGTTCTACCCTTAATCTTCCTCACTTTACAAATGAGGAAAATAAGACTTAGATTTCCCTAATTTCACAAAAATGGTTATTTCCCAGAGAGGGAAAATGGGGAAGGAGGAGGTTGAAGAGGCTAAGGAGAGCCTCCTCGTAGCTGTGATGTAGCTCTGATCCTGAGCGAAGGTGAGAAGGAAGGTTGAGTAGGAGCATCTTACATTGTTGGGCAGTCTAAGTTCAGCAAAACCCACAGAGAGTTCTCAAACCAAAGCTGCGCGCCAGGAAAGTCTTAGTTTGTCACCCTTGGCAGAGTGCCGTGGTGTCACAGCTCACAGCAACCTCCAACTCTTGGGCTCAAGCGATTCTCTTGCTTCAGCCTCCCGAATAACTGGGACTACAGGCACCTGCCACAATGCTCAGCTATTTTTAGAGATGAAGTCTTGCTGTGGCTCAGTCTGGTCTTAAACCTGTGAGTTTAGGCAATCCACCTGCCTTGGCCTCCTGGAGTGCTAGGATTACAGGCGTGAGCCACTATGCCCAGGAAAAAGGACCACTTTTACACTGTTGGTGGGACTGCAAATTAATACTTCCTTCCTCTTTGGAAGGAAGTATGGGGAATCCTCAAAGAACTCAAATTAGACCTCCCATTTGATCCTGCAATCCCACTACTAGGCATCTACCCAGAAGAAAAAAATCATTTTATCAGAAGGCACCTGTGGCTCAAGGAGTAGGGTGCTGGCCCCATATACCAGAGGTGGTGGGTTCAAACCTGGCCCTGGCCAAAAATTGTAAAAAAAAAAAAAATCATTTTATCATAAGGACATTTGCACTAGATTGTTTATTGTAGCTCAAATTACAATCACCAAAATGTGTAAACAGCCTAAATGCTCACCAACTTAGGAATGGATTAAGAAGCTGTTGTGTATGTATACCATGGAATACTATTCTGCCATTAAAAAGGATGAAGAGGCTTGGTACCTGTGGCTCAAGAGGCTAAGGCTCCAGCCACATACACCTGAGCTGGTGGGTTCAAATCCAGCCCGGGCCTGCCAAACAACAATGATGGCTGCAATCAAAAAATAGCCAGGCGTTGTGGCAGACACCTGTAGTCCCAGCTACTTGGGAGGCAGAGGCAGGAAAATCACTTAAGCCCAGGACTTGAAGGTTGCTGTGAGCTGTGATGCCATAGCATTCTACCCAGGGTGACAGCTTGAGGCTCTGTCTCAAAAAAAAAAAAAAAAAAAAAAAAGAAGACTTCACATCTTTTGTGCTAACCTGTATGGAACTGTAACACATTCTTCTTAGTAAAGTATCACAGAATGGAGAAGCAAGTATCTAATGTATCCAATATTAATATGAAGTCAGTAGACAATCTAATACTTGTCCACATAAGAGAAAAACTCAACTCACTTCAAAGTTGGGGGATGAGGAAAGAGGGAGGGAGAAGGAGGAGGGAGGAGGAAGATGAACACGCCCTCAGTTAATGGGCACAATGTTAGGCTGTATGGCGCACCTCTTGAAGGCAGCATACAATTACAAGATGGACTCTACCTAATAAACACAAACATTTAAACCTATTTGTACCCTCAAATTAACCTGTGAGGATAGATGGAAACTGGATCACTCATACATTGCTGTTGGGAATGTAAAATGGAGTAGATCCTGGAAAACAGTCCTAATCTTGATGTTATAATGTAGTTTTGCACAATGTTGCCATAAAGGATCTCTCTGTAGTATTTCTTACTACTGCATCCATACACAATTATCATAAAATGCAAAATTTAATTTAAAAAATTATATATGTGGCCAGCATTATATTTCTGTTGAACCATTCTGCTCTAAGAGAATCTTTTGGATATCCTGAGACAGAAACTTCATATCATATGGAATCTAATGAAAGTCTAATTCATGTTTTATTTATTAATAACTAAAAGTGCTGTCAATTCTTTTATCTTTCTCCTAACATTCACTAATTACTTATTAAAGCAAAATAGCATTAATATAATTTTTTAAATAAATATCTCACTTACTTGCTATTTTATTTATATATTCTGGAGGGTCATTTATAAACTCAACCACTAACTTCTACTTACGTGTTTTTTCCATAGATTTACTTGATGCAACATCATGGTCTTTTTTTGATTTAACTGAGTGATTTTCTTTATGACTTATTTTTCTTGAAGAGCTGCTGATTTGGGGTTCAATTACGTCAACTGAGGTCATGAAATTGGAATCTCCTTGCAAGGCACTGTCTTGTTCTAATGCTGAATCTCTGGATACATGTTTATAAGCACCTTCAGTAAGATCTTCCCAAGTGTAGTTCATGAGATTTACAATTCCCACAGGGAAAGTAATCTTACACTTAGTATACTTCCGCAATGTCTCCCCAAGTTCATACAGTATTTCAGGCGCAGTGAGTTTGTATTCTTCAAACAGCTTCTTTGTCACCTGTATTTTGGAGAATTTCTGTTTAGGAGGAAGCTTGGGCATACTAGGAGATTGTGAGATGCTGGGTACGGGCAACTCCTCCTCTTTTTCATCCTCTTTTTCAGATGCAGCTACTTTAGGTAGTTTTGCTTTCTTTCGTTCTCTTGGTTTTATTTCCTCTGGAAGACTGTAAAAAATGTGAACTTTAAAGATTTTATACTCTTTAACCTTGTAATTTGACTTCTAGAAATTCACCTTAAAATATAATAAAAACAATGCATCACATCTGTGCATAAAATTGCTTACTAATAATGCCATTTATATACAATGGGTAGCCATGGAAGACTGTATGGAAAACTGCTGCTAATAATTTGGGAAGATGCTTATGTTATAATAGCCTTTAAAAAGTATACACAATGGCATATGTGGAATGATCTCAAATGTGTAATATATACATATATGTGGTTGTAAAAAGACTGAGCAAACATCTATCAAAGAGCTAACTGACTGTGGGATTATGGAGGTAATTTTTTATTTTCTCCTTTTATATTTTAAATTTTCTAACTTTTCTACAATGAATATTTATTATATTGTACACAGAAAATTAAGAACAAATATGTGTGTGTGCTTATTTGTTTAATTATAAGGTATGACAGAGATCACTTCTTCCAGAAAGCCTTTCCTGAATTTCTCATGTCAACCTGCAAACATGTTCTGTGTTCCCTTAGCCCACCCTACATGCCCCCTAAATGCTACTGTATTATACAAAAATGCTAAAGTGGGCAAGAGAAAAAGATCCACAAAGGGACTATATAGTGGAAAATTTTAGCCACAGTTTAGAAAGCAATTATGTATATTACATTTAAAAATTACAAGCTATCGTCTCCTTTTGGTAAGAGCACCTAGTACAGTGGTTCTCAACCTTCCTAATGCCTCGACCCTTTAATACAGTTCCTCATGTTGTGGTGACCCCCCGACCATAAAATTATTTTCGTTGCTATTTTGTAACTGTAATTTTGCTACTGTTATGAATTGTAAGGCAAATATCTGACATGCAGGAGATCCTCAAAGGGGTCGTGACCCACAGGTTGAGAACTGCTGACCTAGTAATTCAAGTAATCCACAGTCCCTTGGAGGACATTTAGAGAAGCTGGATAAAATATTAAAAAGCATATTTTTAAGGGCTATTGAGAGCTAATGAGATAGTCAGTAGTTACTATCTACTATCTGGGAGAAGGAGATCCAAAGAGGTAAAACTCCTACTTTCCTCCCTTGGTGGGGGGAGGGTTTGGGATGGGGAGGGAAGAATTTACCAATTCTAGAAGAGACATCTTAGAGGCCTAGAGACTGAGCAGGGCTTCTGATAGCCTTGTGGGGGGTAAGGGTTAGAAATTTAGAGTATAGAAACTTCCAAAGGGAAGCCACTGGTTAGGACCCCAAAGGCTGCATCCTAAGAGTAAAGATTATCTAGAAATAGACCTAGGCCAGTACTTTCAAGTTATCTCACTTTCTGAAATTGAATTAAGATAGACTCGAAGTGTTGCCATCTTTAAACATTTGGCAGAAATAAATAGAAATCTTTTCCTATAACTTCATCATAGGCCTCACTCAGATCATTTTTAGAAACAGTTTTTCAAACACAATATCTGACACAATTTTTTTTTTTTAACAAATAAGGCATATAGTCCTAGCTACTCAGAATTGTGAGGCAAGAGGTTTGCTTGAGCCTAGAAGTTCAAGACGAGGATGGGCAGCATAGTGAGATCTTGTCTCTTATTAAAGTCAGATTCACAAGGTCAAGAGAACATGAATGAGAATCAACAGAAATAGAAATTATTAAATAAGATAGAACCATAGGAAGATACAGATATTAGAATGGCTCTACTTACTATGTCCAAGGAAATAAAAGAAAAAATTGAGAAATTTTTGGAAACTACACACACACACACACACACACATACACATACACACATCATATTACATCATATTTGAAAAGAACCACATGGAAACTATAAAGCTAAAACATGCCTTAAAATTAAGAACTTGTGAATGAGTTTAGTAGCATATTAGATACAGTTAAAGAGAAAATTAGTCAAATGAAAGATAAGTCAAAAAGGAAAGACAAAATCCACCAGAGTGAGGTTATAAACTATTGTCTCTTTACAGCTATCAAAATCCTCTATTAATTTAAAAGGATAAGAGGATAAATTGAGGCTCGGCGCC